GGTGAGATTGGAAATTGTATATGTCATTATCAATTAAGAAAATTCCGATCATCTAAAAAAGATGATGAACTAATTGCAGTTAATGGAAGGCGTGTTCCAGATAGAGGTTTATTTGTGTTTGTAACATGTCCACACTATTTTTTTGAGATTGTTTCATGGTTTGGTTTCTTTTTAGTAACTTGGACATTATGGTCACTTTTGTTTTTATTGTGCACATTTATAACTTTAGTAATATATTCAAAAAAGAAGCACAAAGCTTATCAACAACAATTTGATGGAATGGATGGAAGGCCGTTGTATCCTAAACGAAAAGTTTTAATTCCTTTTATTTTTTAAAGTAATTATAGGTTATTTTTATTTTTACTTTATATTTACTTAAAATTGTTAAATTTTAATATTAATACTTTTATTATAACTTATACAAGTTTTGTTATATTTTGTTACTTTTTATTTAGTTTTTATACATGTTATATAAAAATAAAAATAAATTATAATAAATTAATATATTAACATTTTTTTGTTTTTAAAATTTTTAAATATAAATTAATTTACTAAAAAATCATTATTTTTAAAATTAAGTATATACATACAATTATTTCTTATTTTATTTTGTTATTCAAATTAATTACAAATATTTTACAGTTACAGTAATTATAAATAAAGTAATATATATCTAAATTTTTATTTTCAAAGAAATATTATACCTGAAGAAGTTTAAAAATCCAAAATTTTTTATTTTTTATTTTTTCTTACTTTTAATCATCACTTCAAGAATTTTTGCATTTGCATTAAAATCCTTCCATGCTTTTTATATTTATCTACCATGTGAATATCCTAAAACATGTTTGAATTTTTATCCAAATAACACTGAAATTTTATGTATTGTCTGGATTTTAGGTTTTTAGCATTTTTTGCATATCTTGTCACATCACATGTTTTGTAGCTCACTCTTCTAGACTTTCAGTATTTTAAAGAGAAGTATTGATAAGTTGCTTTGATCTCTTTGCTTTTATATAAAGTTTTATTAAGTTAATAGTTTGTATTCAATGTTTTTTAAATTTGAATAAATTAAAAAAAAATCCATTAATTAATCAAAGTCAAATCGATGAATGGTTTAAATTATTAACATTTCTTCAAAGAAATATTTTATAAAATTTGTTATAAGCTATATTGAAAGTTTATTGTTATTTTATTATTGTTTTTATCCAGTGTCATTCAAGCAAATACATTTTTAAAGTTATTTTTTATGTTTGTTTGCTGTGTTTTTTTATCCCCAATAAAAGTCTAGTTTGTACCTGGAAAAACCTAAATCCTCAGTGGATGTATGTATAGCTATGATGACTTCTTTAGTATAGATATGTGATAGTATGATGACTTCAAAAAACATTTTATGCAAAGCTAAGTGCTTAAATATTTAGGGAGCATTTTAAGTTGCTTCAATTGGTATTGGAATGAGGTACTGCTTGCAATTTTTATATTTGCAATTTGCAATTTATTGTTATAATTATATTCCACCAATTGGTTGATAATGATTGTTATACATAATATGTAAAGTAAAACACCAAAAAAGTTAAAATATTTTGCTACTTTAAGGGAAGTTATACATGGAAATACATACATACATGGGAAAATATGAATAGAAGAAGTAAAAACTGATGTTTTAGATTATTTCTTTTTTTAGAATTTTATTTTGAAATATTTAAGAAATATTACAACATGGAGATTCAGCGGAAAAAAAATTTTATTGGAAAGCCATCTCCTTTGGGATATGTTGCTGGTCTTGGTAGAGGGTTAGAAATTATATTTTTAATAAATTTTTTAGTAAAATTTTTTTTATTAATGAAAAAAATTATACAATGATTTGTTTTTTTGAATTATAGTGCTTCTGGATTTACGACACGATCAGATATCGGTCCTGCTCGTGATTCAACTGACATGCCAGATGAAAATGCTGCTCCTATTGTCTCAAAAAAGAAGGCAGATGATGATGAAGCTGAAGATCTTAATGAATCCAATTATGATGAGGTATGGCAATTTTTTCCAATATACTTGTGTGCAAACAGTGGTGATGAGTAATTCAATTTTTTAACATTACTTTGTTCTTGATGGCATTTTAGTGAGGAGCAATTGACAAATGCTTTCTAACAGCATAACTAAGAGATAACTAAAGTCCCCTTGATTATTTGCAAAAGTTGTAAGGGGCATCGATATGTACAAATGTATGTATTGTTTATTACAAAATCAACCCACCCTTTCCCAACAAAAAATTTTCAAAACATTAAAAAAAAAAAAAACTTTGTTAATTTGACATTAATATTATGTTATGTAATATTATGTTACAATAATAATTGTTTAAACTCTTAAAATTCAATGCTTTTGTTTAAAAGAAAAAGAAATCAACTTTTATATAGAGATGCAAAACAAGTAAAATTGTGTATGTACTCACTGCCTTAACCCTTCCCCCTCCCTTGTAGGAATTTGTACGTTTTTGGGTAACCCCCTCCCCATACCTGCAAATGTACTTTATTTTACACTAATTTAAAAGGCTTAGATCTTGTGCAAATTATGTACAAATTTTACAATACCATCCACATTGCTGTGGAAAATGTTTGGAGAGTTTTTGTTTTTTGCTTGTTATTTCTAAAATTGATTGAAATATTTTTGGGGTTGACATCTTCAACTTTTTTAATTTTCCTATTAATTTTTTTTTTTATCCTTATTGATGTCCTTTTTAATTTTTTTGTTATAACTTTCGATCGCCTTTTAAAACTTTAAAATTTTAAATAAGAAATTACTATTTATAGCAATAATGTTTGTATATATATGATTTTTTAATACCAATAAAAATGCAATGAAATATTTTATAAATAAGGAAATAATATCATAAGACTGCAGCTTAATTGAAATAATAATACCATATAATAGAAGAATACTGAACATGGTATCATATTAATAGTTATTAATTCCCTGTCTGTTGTTAAATGGTATCTGTGGTTCGATTTTTTAAAAACTCTGGAGATCGCTCTGACCCTTTTAATTATCGACCAATCATTTTCTTTTTACAATTACTTACAAAGTCCTGATTTTAGATTTAAAAAATTCTAATGCCTTATCTTGGTTCTAGTCTATGGATTTTAATCCTCTCGTTATACTACTGACTCATTATCTGCTATAGAATATAATGAGTCAGCAATGATAAAGGTTCTATTATGCATTAGATAGAAAACAAGGTAAAAGAAGCAATAAGACAAGGGCTGTTGCTCATGACATTAAAAGGCTTGCAATTAGAGCGTGCTAGTCTGCTACCTAGGCTTGCTTCATATGGTCTATCTTGAAAAATTCTTAAAATTACTGAATCATTTTTTTCTAATTGTATAATTAAATTTGTTCTTGATGGACAACACTCTCTTTCATTTTTAACAACATCTGGGGTACCACAAGGTACCCTAAAGTACCCCACATAAGGTACTCAAAGGCACCACAAGGTACCCCAGATAATATTAAAATTCTACTAATTTTCTCTTAAAATTACCAAGAAAATCAAAAGAAAAATGTAAGTTATTAAAATTTAATATGTTCATTTTGAATCCAATATTTTTTTCTTATGAAATATAAGTTTTTTTTTTTGTTTAATGTCAGTAGCAATTCAATAAGTCAAAATTTTATTCATTCTTTATTCTTTGTTTTAGTCATATATACATAAATAATGTATGGAATAAATATGCAATTCAACCTTTCTTAGAAATACCAGCTAACACCAAAGGCAGCATTTGGTACACAATGAACTTTAAATATATTTGTTGTACAGTCAAAAAGAAAGAAATAGGGTTGTGCTTTCAAAATATTTGGATCAAACTCAAACATATCTGAATTATTTAGCTGCAATGTGATATAATTTAGTCAAATAGCTAAAAAAATTTCTTTTGGGAAAAAAACTACACTTATCTCATTTATTTTGGAGTTGCATCATATTTGAAGGAAATTTTGTGTATGACATTATAAGAGCTTGAAAAGTTTGTCTGTCTGATGAATCTTACAACCAAATTATCATAAAGAATCAAATTGACCTGCATGTAAGTTATTTGGACTCCTCATTAGAGATAATAAACACACAGTATTAAAACTCTGATCCAAATGTAAATATGTTTTTCTCTCTAATTTAAATGCTAAGAGAAAAGACTAACAATTCTGAGAAGTGAGTGTGAACTCAGTCAATTAATATTAATTGAAACAATGCACTGTTTATTAAAGCATTGAATAGAAGTTAAATAAATTACTCTCTTCGTTGTATAAGATATTCCATAAGAATCCTTCTCTTAATGCTAATTTTAAAAATCTTACTCAAGCTCAATCTTCAAATTATGCTCTACAATTCTCTAGTCATCGTTGGATTAAAAATGAGAGAGCGACAAAATTAGCTATAAAATTCAGTTATACAGAGATATAGTTCCTGTTAAGTAGCAATTTTTAAGGAAACTGCAAGGTTGTTAAATTCATCTGTTGGTTTTTCAAACTGGCAATCCGATCCTTATTTTGTGGAAACAAATGAGTATTTGCTGTATCTATTTTGTCAACGTTTATCAAAAAAGAAGTTTGGTCTTATGCAACTACAACATTTACATTATTAAAGTTGATATCAGTGATAAAATCACTGATATCAACTTTATTACAGTGATAACTAAAATTAAGTGTTTTGTGCAAGTATTGATCTAGGGTTTTGAATAAAATATGAGTGGCAGCAATTGAAATCTGGAAAAAAACTGATGAAAATTTGTAACTGATGCTTATGATGTTATGATGCTTATTATGATCATCAATGTTTATCACCTTTATACATTGCAAAATCTCATAAGATGTGTGAACTTTATTTTGATAAATTGTGAACCCTTTCTTAAATAGTTACAGTTTTTAACTACTTGTGAAAGAGAACAGAGAGAAATTTCATGGATTTAATAAAGAAAGAGAACAAATTCTTTTTTTGCTTCAATATACAGATGCTTCACAATTCAAAGACTTGGTTAAAGTACTAATTGTTGCTAAGTGAAAGTTTACTAATTGTTACCTTGTGTCCGAAGCCCAAACACAAGTAGAGCATAGATTTAGTATAAATGACCAACTTCTGGATGGTAATAACTAAAACTCTTGTTACACAGAGAATTTTCTATTTCAGATATTTTTTTAATGTTACCCAAAAAATTCTTTTTTTGCATTACTTTGGGTATATGATTGGTTTAAAAACCTGCAGGCAGAATTTTAGCATCAATTAGTACCACTCCTTCCAGTTCTGCAATATAAAATAACTGCAATAACTTTTGAGATCTATTTGTTGCCTGCCTCTAGTTGTCTTGGTGCTCCCACAAGTCTGGATCTGTGAGAAATCTGTCTTGATGCTTCATTGTTTGGATCAGCCTCATTGACTTTGTTTTAACAAAAAGTTTAAATTCTTGACTTTAAATGCATCAAAAGCAATAGTGATTTGCTTGAATTGTATCTTCTTTGGTCTTTTTTATTCTGCAAGGCACTTATCATTTATCACTTAACTGACAGGCTTAACTTGAATGTGAAAGAAAACTAAGCTAAAACGTTCTTAAGACTATGTTATTTTATTAAAACTTGTATGTAAATGTTGATTTTGAGATGCAATTTAATATGAGAAGTGGCTTATATTAACCTATACAAGGGTTGAATTAAGAGATTTTGAAAAAGAAAATTGAAAAAAACTTTATCTAAGTATAATAACGCAACAACAACTGGAGGTTGTACAGATGTAGTTACATCTTTTCAATTATGTTAAGAATAACTACACACATTTTTCAGATGTAGTTACATCTGAAAAAAAAATCATTAAATAATAATGCATTATTTTAACCAGATGTTAAAAAAAAAATAATGCATTATTTTAACCAGATGTTAAAAAATAATGCATTATTTTAACCAGATGTTAAAAAATAATGCATTAGTTTAACCAGATGTTAAAAAATAATGCATTATTTTAACCAGATGTAGTTTCATATATGTGTTTTTTTAGATGTAGTTACATCTGAAAAAAAAATCATTAAATACTAATGCATTATTTTAACCAGATGTTAAAAAATAATGCATTATTTTAACCAGATGTTAAAAAATAATGCATTAGTTTAACCAGATGTTAAAAAATAATGCATTATTTTAACCAGATGTAGTTTCATATATGTGTTTTTTCAGATGTAGTTACATCTGGAAAAAAAAATTAATTATAAATGCATTATTTTAACCAGATTGTTAGTTACATATAACATTTTTTCAGATGTAATTACAACTGGAGGAAATTCTTTCAGATGTTATTGGACTTGGAGAAAATTCCCAGATAAAGTTACGTCTTTCTAAAGATGTTGTTAAGGGTCATTGAATTTTTAGATAATATTGAACAGATGGACTACACTACAGATGTCGTTGGACAGATCTAGTAATCTTTTTCCTTAATAAACCACTGATTTAAAATATTATTATTACATAACTCGCTTTAATATAGAACACATGTTTGAGTTTTACACTAATGTAAGGAATAAAAAGTTTGAAGTCATTACATCTGATTTTTATAATAAAATGTTTACTATTTTAACCTAGCGCATGTTGAAACATAAACGCAATGTGAATGGAATGTAGCGCTAATGCAAACACAATGTTAATAGGAAATTACTAAAAGAAAATTAAAACTTGAGAATATTTTTAATTTTGTAAAAACATCAAAATTTTAAAAATTATAAAATGTAATTCTAGATACATCATTATTTTTTAAATGTAAAATTAAAAAAATAATGATGTATCTTGCCAATGGTATGCCATGTAAAGTTATAGAATTTTTAGCAATTTTAACTACTTTTACTAAAAATATGTTTAAAAATGTGTTTAAAAACTAATAATCAGTATTTTAATTTGTCTAATAGATGGAATTATCTTAATATACAGAAAAAAAGTAAATCTCCCAAAGAATATTCAAAGAGTTCAATACCGCTGTCGACAAGTTTTGTGTGGTTTTGTTTTCTGCATGATAAAGAAAATCAACTAGAAAAGTATAAGAAATACAACAAAAAGATAAAATCAAATGGTGGAAGTACCAGTGGACCGCATACACAAAATGCTAACAATGAAGAGGAAATTGTCCCAATATGCAGCATCATCATTAGTTTCGTTTTCATTGGTACCATTGTCCGATGAAAATTCAAACCTCTTGACCACCCTTGACGACTGCCTTTTAGTGTATTTGTCATGTCAGCAGAACTTGTGGGTACATTGTTCCAAAATCGGCTACCTCAATTCGCAATATGGTAGTCAAATACGCAAACACAATCAAGGAAATTGTAATATTTAAACTCAATAACATCCAATCGCAAGGGGTGCCATTAAGTTTGATATTTGATGAATGGACGTCAATTAAAAATTGCAGGTATTTAAATGTAAACGTTCACAACGAGGACAAGTTATCTTTCAAACACTGTAGCAAATCAGCCATTGTCAATATATATATATATATATATATATATATATATATATATATATATATTATATATATATATATATATATATATATATATATATATATATATCATTGCTTGACTGAATGATTGGCTCAATCAAGTGTATAACTCTGTATTTTCCACTAGAGTTTCTTCTGATAGCAATTTTGTTGAAAACGCTGTAAACTTGTTATTGAAGAAAAAGCTTGACTATGCAAATTTGAAAATTAAGAAATGTAACTTCAAGGGAAAATTCAATGTTTCAAATAATTTATCAAAAATTATATGTAATGAAAATCTATATGTAATGAGATGGCAGTTTTTGAAGAAGTAGGAAATCGCATATGTTTGCAAAATTTCTACAAATATTTAAAAACTGTGAAGCCAACAAGTGTCGAATCGAAATGTGAATTTCCAGCAAGTGGCATCATTGTCACATAATTACAATCATCTCTTGAGGATGATAATCTAAATGCACTATGTTTCTAAAGGCTCATTTTACAAAGGAGAAAAAATCGAAAAATGAAAAAGTCAGTAATTTTGATATAAAATAAATTAGCTTATTAAATCAATGAGATTTTTACTATTAACTTGAGATTTTGTTCATATCATGATAAATTTTAATACTGGTGTTATACTGGTATTATCGGTACTGAAATTATTCAGTATTGAAATACCGGTATTGAAAAATGGTATCGGCATTGGAAGCACTAACTTCAATCTCTCTAGATGTTTGTCTTTTAGAAATTACTTTCACTGGAAAATAACCTCCGGCTAAACTTTCCACTATTGCCATCATAAACTTTATTCTTGACATTAGCTTATGCTTATTTGTATTGAGCTTGTACAATAAATATTAAAATTGCCCTACCAAATAGAGGAAAAGCAACTTTAATTGTCCACTTTATTGTTTTATGCTCTGACAAATATACATAGAGCTAGATATGGTTTCATAACTGTATTTCCTTTTCTATTACGCATTTCAGTGAAACCTGCTTTGGCAACAGTAGATAGTAATATAGGCTTTTTTTTACCATTTTGGTATGCCACACACAACAAGGACCTTTTCTATATTGGTAAACCTCATTTTTTGATTTCGATTTTATGCAGAGTTCTGGTTGGTCTTTCCTGCTGACTCTCACTGTGCCTGTTGCAGTGGTCTGATGAGCATATAGATCTAATAACAGTTGAGGAGAAGTATAATAATTGTCAATACCCATGTAATGACCCTGATGGAGTAAACTATTTTGGCGCAAAAGAGGAAAAACTAAACTATAAGTCATACCATAGGCAATGGCTGCTACATTTGAGTCTTTTCCTCCTTTATAAACTTTGAATTGACACAAATAACCTTTGGTGCTGTCTAAAACACACCATAACTTAATCCTAAATTGAGAATGACATTTGTTTGGAATTTTTCGACGCTGATGTGGTGTCTTTCTACACAAGCAGTGAATGCCTGAGGGAAGAAGTGAAGTACATTAGAATACAGGAGAATTATTTATCAAACAAAGCATATTTTGACAGTTGTCTAGACAAAAATAAAGATTAATAGAGGAAAATTTCAAAACAAATAAGACAGACAATGCACCTAAACAATACTTACAATAAAAATAAAAAATGCATTGTTAGATATACACTAATATTAACGAAGATATACAACAAATATATAATTAAGAAATTTGTTGTTAAAATGTTCAACTAAAAACTGAATTTTTTAAATCTTATTGAGTGGTTGTTGATTTGGCACATGGATATTTGTAAAAGAAAGAAATTTAAGCAAAAGTTAAAACTGGTCATGATTGAAATGGGTAACAAACCAGGAAGTAGATGCACAATGATGACTTTTATCCCACTACAGTTTAAGGTTAGCTTTTTTGATTAGACCCATGTTAATTACAACTCCAAGGAAAGCTCTTATCTCTAAAAGAATTGTCTTTCTCTGTTTAATCCATCCATGACCTCTTGATGTTGGACCTCAAATGTTGATTATTTTGAATCCACATAACTGAATTAATAACATAATTATTAGTAAAAGTAACTAAGTTTTGCAAAAACTCAGGTAAAAAAAAAAATTGCTAGTAAAAGTAACTATATTTTGCAAAAAATCAGAAGTAAAAAATAAGTCAAGATAGTCAATAGACTCTGGTGAAATTTAGTGCTTGGGTCCTGATTCACAAAACAAATACCCAATCATCTAAAACATTACCACCATCACCATCTACATCAACATTGCCATCAGAACTGAAGTCTACATAAAAATTGAAATAAAAAACTACAAGTTATCATAATAGGTGCTATATTTGTATTATAATACAATTTTTAAAATAAAGTTATCGTGCCTTTATCAAATAAACTGTCGTTTTTGGAACTTAAAAATTCTTCGCTGTTACAACTCTCGCCATCCATAAAACATTCTTCAATGTCGCTCATTTTCAATACCAAATATATATAAACAATATACCAAAAGATAGAAAAAAACGTACTCTATTCAATGCTGCCAATTTAAATGGTATTCTGCTGTAAAAAGTCAAAGAGCACTTTTTAAAGCCATTATCTTTGTGCTCTGATGGTTTGTACCACAATCATGGCTCATTAAAATTTTCTTCAATTTAAAATTTGAGATTACTTATCTTTTTTAAACAAAGAATAAGTTATAAAAATTATAATTACGTTATAAAAGTAATAACACTATTATAGTTTTATTACTTTTATAATACAGTTAGTGACTATAGTGTTATTACTTTTGTAGTTGTAAGTTTATTGTTTTGTTTTTATAATTTATTTGCTAACAAATTTAAGCTAATTTTCTCCATAAAAACAAAGTACACGGTTTTGCATAAACTAAAATTTTGAAGACCAGATATTTTTTCAGATTTCGCAAATTGCAATTGGTTAATTAAACGCTTTCCGTATTCTTACACAAAACTGTTTGTGTTTCAGAACTATTGAGTTTAGAGAGGTTTATTGAGGGTTATTGAGTTTGTTATTACAACAATGAAAAGAAAAAAAAATTAATGTCTCCTTTGGCTATAATGCTTAACAAAAATTTTTATGTGTAGACATTCCATAAGTCTCCTCAATCTTCAATAATGTAATACCCGCGAGCAAATGACAAAAGTTTCTTGAGCTTTTGCTTTAGGAGAAATGCACATGTAAAAGTAATCTAATCAGTGTTTGAACTGATTGGGGCAAAACACTGCTTAGATCTTGTTGGGTATGCTCCAGTTTTCAAATATTATAAATTTAGCAGAACTCTGAACCTGGCCTGTTCCAGATATTAGTGTGACAATTATAATTAACTGTAATAAACGACCGGGGCTGGTTTTTTACCTGGGCCAAAGCCGGGTTTATGGTTGGGGCTGTATAAATATTGGTGCATATTGATATGATATATAAAAACAAGTCAATATGCAGCAATGTTTATACAGTTCCGATTGTAGAACCGGCTTTGGCCACATTCAAATACCAGCCCCGGTTGTTTACTAATTAACTGAGAAACAATTTTTCTTGAAACAATTAGTGGCAAGCATTTAACTTTTTAATTTTTATCAGGGATCATTTTTCCATCCCTTTGAACAAGAAAAGGAATATCACGCAGAAACTCTTCTCATGTTTCCAGATCTCTGGAATGGTATCTCCATACCATAAAAGTAAAAAGCAGTATAACACATTATTTTTACAAGACTATTAAACAAACTTACAAAAAAAAAATTTTTCTAATAAAATAATCAATAGTTTAAAATAAAAGTTTAGTTAACAAAATTTAGTTATAATAATTGTCCCCAGTTTCTTTTTCACACTTTTCTTTTTCATAGTTTTTTTTTTTTTCACTAACTTTAACTTTGTTTTATAACAATTAATTTTTTTTTTGAAGCATTAATCTAGTTCAAAATTTTTAGCTTTGAAGTTTTGTTTGTTTTTAGTTTGCTGGTTATGGAGGAAGTTTGTTTACAAGTGGTCCCTATGAAAAAGATGATGAAGAAGCTGATGAAGTTTATGAAAACATAGACAGGAGAATGGACGATAAACGCAAAGAAAGAAGGTGTGTAATGATTTTTAATTAGGGTGCTGAGCTCTGAAATGTTTTACCAGACAATGTAGTCTCCTCTGATTCATTTCTCCTCAAAAGTTTTTTGTAAATTACTAAATGTTATACATGACTAGAAAGTTTTATATAATTTATTTAGAAGTAACTCAGGGCTTATTCTAGACCGTTTTTGACAGCAAATTATTTGGGTGCTCCCCAAAATAAAATTCTTAGAACTTTTATTTAATTGTTTTTTACGGCAAATAATGTCTTTTTCACAAAAAAATGCTGATTTTCTGCTAAATTTCTCTTGGATGGGGGACGGGCTAAATTTCTCTGCCGCCCAAATTTTTTTCCTAGAATAGCCCCTTTATCTACTAAATAATTTTTATTTAGAATAATCATTTTTTTGTGATCTGTAAAGATCACTTTTAAATCATTGTTGTCCATCATAATATTTCTGGTTTAGAGAAAAGAAGTTTAAAGAGACAGTAGAAAAATATCGTCAAGAGAGACCTAAAATTCAGCAACAGTTTTCGGATTTAAAGGTTTTTCACTTTTTCTTTTTTTTTTTCCTTACCTTTTTTTTATTTATCAATTTTTTATCTAATGTTAAAATATTTAGAGAAAGCTAGCAGAAGTTGGTCCTGAGGAATGGGCGTCATTACCTGAGGTGGGTGATTCTCGAAATAAAAAAGTTCGAAATCCAAGACCTGAAAAGTATGTGATCTTTTGTTACTAATTTTGGTCTTTGTTTTCATCAATTTATAAGCTTTATCAGTTTGTTAAATGTTTTTGATATTGCTTATATAATAACACTCTAAATAACATTCTTGTTTCTATAATTTACGTAATATTTAAAATTGAAATAATTTTTATACAATAGTGTTCATGCTTTTGTATAATAGTGTTTATTATTTTTGAAAAATATATTTTTCATATTAAAAAAACTTTAAACATAAAAGTTTAAAGAAGTTATGACAGAAATTTCAAATTAAGAATTAGAAAATAGAATTAAAAATTAGAAATTAGAATTAGAAATTAGAGATTTCAAAAAGTGGTTTCCACTTAAAAATGATTAATTTTTTATTTTATGTTAGTAAAATCATCTGTATTATTTTTGAGAACTAGGTTGATATACTTTTAAAAAACCTTTGGAAAGAAACTCTCATAAATATTTGTGATTAGTTAATTCCTGATATCAGTAACATATGTTCTATTTATATATGTTCTATTTATATATTTTTATAGATATTCTTTGTTATAAATGAGAGTTCTGAAATTAGTCTCTCTTTTTATTATTTTGTTACAAAAATTTTGAAAATAAGATTATCCTAATCATAACAAGATGAATTAACATATTCTGTTTTTAGCCCTTGTTTACACATTTTATTTTTGTATTTGTTATTGTAAAATGTTGACTACAGTTTTTTTACTTTACAAAATATTTTGTAAAGTAAAAAAACTTTTTTTTGCTGCAATTTGAGATTTGCATTTTTTATTTAACTTAAAAAGCTATTTTAAGTTTCTGTTTATTTAAAAAATGTTTAGGAAAAACCTTTCAATATGTTTGTTTTGCCTTTTTAGTTAAATTTAGCGTTGCGTAATTTATGGACAATCCTGTATTTGAAAAATTTTTTATTTGAAAAAGTTTCTTTTTTAAATTAAAAACTTTTAATTTGAAAAAAAAAAAAAATTAATTAATTTTAGAATAAAGTTTGTTTTAAAAAAGTTTAATATTATTCAATAAAACATAAATTGATTATACTTTTTAGTGTCTGACAGTAAGTATTAAAATTGGCTAAAAAATCAAACCAAAGCCTTCATTAACTTCTCAAAAGGCAAAAACATAAAAAAATAAAGAAAAAGAAATTCTAAAAATAGAAATTATGGTGATCTCAAATAACTTTTCAGGAAAGTATACACACACACACACACACACACACTCACACACACACACACACACACACACACACACACACACACACACACACACACACACACACACACATAAATAATCACACATCCACACACACACATATACCAATAAATAATACCCATATAATTATTTAGTAACAAATTATTAATGATTTAATATGATATTTCCAGATTTACACCTGTTCCTGATAGTGTCCTTCGTTCTGCACTTTTAGCTGGTCAAACAACAACCTCTGTCAACCCAATGGATCAAGTATGTTTATTTTGATCATCTTCTAATTAAATAAAATCTATAGTTTTAAAAATATTAATGCTAGTTTTTCTATAAAAAAAGTTGAATTTCAGTGTTCTTATAAAAGTTTTTAATATCAGTAATTATCTTATCAATGATTTTAATGTTGATGCTTTTGTCAAGTTTTACTACAACAATTATAAGTATTCTCATCAAATTTAAAAAAAAAAACAACAACTTCAAATTGTTTTTTATTTCCTCCAAAATAATGTTTTTATATAAAAGCATTTGCTTCAAAGTTTTCTTGTATTTTTATACAAAAAATTGCTTTTTAAAAATGTTATTTTAAAGTGTTTTTTTTATATTAGTTTGATGGTTTGACCACACCTTATTCTGGCCTGGCAACACCTGCTTCTGGTGATCTTGACCTGAATAAAATTGGTGAAGCAAGAAAATCTCTTGTTGGTGTTAAACTAGATCAGGTGAGATCAAAGTGACAGGTGAGATCAAAGTGACAGGTGAGATCAAAGTGACAGGTGAGATCAAAGTGACAGGTGAGATCAAAGTGACAGGTGAGATAGGAAAATAAAGAATTTCAGGTAAGTTATAAATAAAGGAAAGAGTTCTGAGTGTTTTGAGATTGAGCTTTTTCTCAGCAAGCACTTGGTAAAGTTTTAAGAAAAACTAGAAAAATGCAAAATTTATTTATTTAAATAAATATTATATATGTATATAATATTTATTTATATATGTATATTTTTATTTAAAAAAACGTTTGTAAATGTTTAATTGCATTAACTGACAAATACAAAACAACAAATATACATTACAAACATACAAAATTAGTATAATAAATGAAAAGTAAAAGTAACATGTATTTAAGTTTATAAATCAATAAAACTCCATCTTACCAATCAAGATTTTACTAAGTTATCTTTCATATCATAAATAGGCAACAAGATAAATATTACGTTGATTTGAAATATTGATATAAGTTGTTTTATAATAATTTATTTAATAATTTAATAATTATTATAGTAATTTAAAATGTGTTGCTTTAGAAAAGCAAAATATAACACTGAATGTTGCAGAATTAACTAGTTAGTAGAAAAAACTAGTTGTTAGAAGTATATTTACCAATTTAAGTATTTTAAAATAGTTTTAACTTAAGAATAATTAAAAAGATTTAAATTACTTTTTCATATATAATATTAAATTGTTAAAAAAACGATTTTAAATATTTTGCATTACAAACATTTAAAACTTTATGAATTACCTTATTAGGCTTCTGATTCTGTTACTGGTCAAACTGTTGTTGATCCAAAAGGTTATCTAACAGATCTTCAAAGTTTAACCCCAAGTTCTAGTGGTGACATTGGTGATATTAAAAAAGCCAGACTTTTGTTAAAATCAGTCATCACAACCAATCCAAAGCATGCACCAGGTAAATAAGTATAAAATGTGTTTAACTTTATTTGATGGCAATGAAAAATTCTTAATTCTTAATCTGAAGTTCTGAAAAATCAAAACAGAAAAACATCAATTTAGTAAAATAAAAAAGTACTATTTTGTAATATAAGGTGCAAAATGAATGGCCACCATATAGTAGGTAACTAAGTACCAAATAGTATGTAACCAAGTTACAGATAATAAGTAATAAATAATAAGTTAATGAGTAAAAAAATAATTTAGGAAACAATTAATAAATGCAAACACTGTATAGCTTAAGTAAAAGTAAACAGTGTTTGAAAATGAAGTTTTTTTTATTAATTTGTGAACAATTTAATGTAAAATTATAATATATTATAGTTTAATAATTGATAATAAAATGTAAAATCACTTTTTATATTTTGTTGCTTGGTTTTCACGGTTCTAGTACTTTGATGCGAATATGTTTATTTTTTATTTTTAAATTTTCTTGATTTTTCACTGGGGGGCTACAATTATTTTCCACACAATATTAGACATTGCAATTTTTTTAGCATATTATTTTTGACTCTTTTTGTTTCTTCATTACATAAACTTACTTTTTATCATTATTTATTCAATCCAACCTGTTCAATATTGCTTCTTCTTTATAATTATAAGTATTTGGAATTAATTGATTAATAATTAATCATTGAAAAATTATTCTATTAATTTTTTAAAACATTATTTTACAGTTTAAAATAAGTAAAGTGTTACTTACTTACTATTAATATTTATGATTTTTATATTGATACTTATTATTAATAATTACAGGGCTCGAAATAACGCAAAAAAATCTAATCGCAAAAAAAAAAAAAAATTCTTTCCCCCCTCATACCTCGCGCTGCTTTGTTGTAATGGGGGGGGGGGTTACATAAGTATAAAAATCTTTTGTACATAATTGTTGTTATTTTAACATATTATCTCTCATATTTAAATATTATTTTATAATTTTCTTGTTTAACAGAGTTTAAAATAGCGTAAATTACTGTTATAATTTACAGCTTAAGTTATAATTTAAAGTTTAAGTTGCAGTTATAGTGTATTGAGTAAGTAACGTATTTAGTATTAATTATATATTTTTTTAGTAATTGTTTTTACTTAACATAATGCTTGAAAAAAAAAAAAAAAAGTAAAGAAGTAAAAGTAAAAATGCAAATATTTTAACCACTTTAATTAGTCATAAAAATCTTTTTAATACATTCATGGTGGCACGTGCTATTTTTAAAGAGTATTTAATTGTTATTGTAAAAAAACTATAAAACAACAATAAAACTAACTGCAATGTTGTTTTAAAAATATAAAGAGCTTAAAACAACTTCGTGATTTTGTCACTATTTTGTGCTGTTTTAAACAGTTTATAACCTTAATAACATAAAACGCATTTAAAATAAAATGTAACAAATAAATCAAATTTTTATAATTATTTAATCAAAACATTATTGTCGTAAAACTTCATATTTGCGCAAAAACATGCCTATAGACCATACAAGTCTATAATCTATAGACCAAACGAGTAAGATCGGAGCAAAAAAAACATTAGATACCACATTTTTAATAATTTATTGTTTCTTGATCTAGCGTACTATAAAAAATTTAAGTATAGTTAAGTTTTTCGTTTAGATGGGTTTTAAATGTTTTTATTCAATTTTTTTATTCAAATTGTTTTCCAATAAAAAGCGAAACAAAAAATTTGGTTTAATAAAATGAATTGTATTTCTTTAAGTTTAAGAATATGCTTAAATTATTTTTTAACAGAATTAAAATTATTTATTAATTTTAATTTTTTATAAATTAATTTTAATTTTTGCAATCACTGGTTTAATGTTTGCAATAGAATGTTTCAACTTTTTTCAAAACTATTTTCAAGAAACAAAATATAATTAACTATTCAAAACGTTTACAATATTTACAATTTACAAAAAAAAATTTCTTTCTTCTAATTCTTTTAAAATTTTCTAATTTTTTTTTTCAATTTTAAATTTCAATTGCAAAATTATTTGAATAAAAGAATTTTAAAATACTAAAATTATTTTGTTTAAATAGATTTCTTTTTAAATAAAATTCTTAAAAACAACTTGCGTATTTATAGAAAAACAGTATTTATAGTTTAATATTGATATTGCTTTAAATAAAATGAAAATATAAAAAAATGTATCGCGTTTTTCAATTTCTATTCAACAATTTTTGTTAAAATAATTTTTCGTTAGAAGCTTATATTATTATGTTAACAAATGTTTCTATTTATATCTTATATGTATAATATGTATGTATCTTATATAAACATTTGTATGACTAACTTTTGTGAGTCTTTGAGTATATTAAGTAAATTAATATAATTGATAAGTTAATACTTGAGTAACTGTAAGTTACTGTTGTAACTTAAATGGTCGTTTTGATTTACTTTAGTTTATAAGTAAATTTACTGTGATGTACTTTATCCATTCAGTAAATCAAAGTAAATATAACTTAAAAAGGTTCAAGGTTGTTAAAGCGAAAAATGTTGAAGCAAAAAAGTTACTGGTTTCTATTAGCACTGGTTAACTAATAGAAAAAATTTTTAATAAAAAAGAATTAATATATTTAATATACTTAAAGTAGTAAAATTAATTATATAATATTGTTGATAAAATAATAATTTAAATTATTAATAATAAATTAGTTTGGTGCAACGTCTTTTCCCATTTCTACTTTTTGCTTTAACGACCTTTAAAAATATTATTGGTTTCCACGCAGATATTTAAAGTAATAAAAAAAAAAAAAAACTAATCGCGAAAGTGTGAAAAGCAATCGCAATATGCCTAATTCGACTTATGAATTTCTCTTTTTTCATCAGATTTTATCTTAAAAAAACATAATTAATAGTGTTATCATTTAAACTAGTTCTTAACTTGGTAACAAATCAGCTGCACTAAAACCTCTTTCTGATTCTGAAAAATAATAAATCTTTTCTAAAGAGTCTTTCTAGCATTTTAAGTTATTCCTAAAGAGCACTGAAAAAAGACGAGGGTATTTTTTCAGTGCCTTTAAGTACTGCCATTTCACACTTAATACAGCTCAAAACTTCTTGTGGTGATGACTTACAAGTCTGTAATGTAATGTTGTATGTGATATTATTTCTTCCAATTCTATAACTATATTTTTTTTTCTTATGTTTCACATTACATTACTCATTCACATCCTGACTCAGATGCTGGTTCAACTTCTAGTTAAGTTTTTATTAGGTTTTCCTTGTGTAGAGATGAAAGTACATATACTTTTCTTGCTGTTTTACCAAATTATTTTTATTTGGGTTGTTTTAACAAACAGATTACAGAACTCCATATTGTTTTAGTAATCAAACTTTTTTCAGGCGACATCATAAATGACATTGTTCTGTTGCACTTTAAAAGTATTACATTTAAACAGTTTTAACTTTTTTTTTTTTTTATATACAGTGGGCAGCCAAACTTTTAGTTATACTTTGTTTTTTATATACAGTGGGAAGCCAAATTTTTAGTTTTTTCACAAAAACTACAATTAATTTTTAAATTTTAAAAATTAGTTGTCGTTTTTAAATGAATAAATGTTTTATTAAAACATTCAAATCACTCCCAAAAAAAATTGCAAATTTAGTTAAGGTTTCTGTGATGACAGTAAGCAGAATCTTGATAAAATAAAATACTTGTACATAGTGCCAAGTGGAAAATGCGTGAGACCACGCTTCACTACTCCGAGAGATGAACAAGCGATTCATTATATTTGTGTTAAAAACCAAAGAAAGTGCGAAAAGCAGTTATTAAAATTGTACAAGAAACTGGTATCAAGATTTCTAAAAAAACTACAAAACATCGAATAGCAAAAGTGGGGTTTAAATGCTACAGGCTTGCCAGGAAACCTAAACTTACACCTGCGATAAAATTAAAATGTTTTACTTAGGCTAAACAACACCTACATATCTTTACTGAAGGGAAAATGTAAGTAAATACAATGTAAATATAATGATTAAAACATTGAAGTTTTTATATATTATTTTTTATTTTTATATTATTATTTTAAATTGTTTTCAGGTGTGTTTCTCAGATGAGTTTTCTTTTGTTAGATGAAGGAAAGAAGAAAAATATAACCCAGACTGTGTTATGGAGACAGTAAAGCACCCTCTAAAGGTGATGGTGTGATCAGTTATAAGTGGTAAGGGCAGTGGCCTTCTTTAGTTAAAAGGACGATAAACCAGGATAAATATAAAAAGGTATTTGCCTCCAATTATTTCCTCAGTTACATGATTCTACGCAATGCCATAAAGCTAAATCAGTGACAAGATGTTAAGAGTCAAAAAAATGTTACTGTTTTACCATGGCCTAACAATTCTCCCGAACCAATGGAGAGAACTTTTAAAGCTGATAGTTGTTCATAAAACTATAATCAACAAAAAAAATCTCATTCAGGCACTAAGTAATGCCAGGTATTATGATCAGGAGTTAAAAGCAAATGTAAAGAATTGCATCTAAAGTAAAGATACGAGCAATAATTAATGGCTGCGCAACCAAATACTTAAAAACTTTTGGTATTGTTGGTTTTCTTAAATAAATGCTTAAAAATAGTAAGAGTGTTTAAAATAGTGTTTACTTTTAAAAAAAAATATTTAAGCACCAATATTTATTTAAAAATTTAGCATAAGAATATGTAATATAGCTCATAATGGGTGGTATGATATTTTTTGCAAGTGTAATTAATAATTTGGCTGTCCACTGTATCTTCTAGTATATACACATATTATATTTGTTTATACATTTTATATATGTTTACATTTATTATAAAGAATTAGTTCTATTTCTTTGTTAAAAAATGACAAATTTATTTTATATTAACATGGAAAATTAATAGATTAATTGTTTGATTATTTATTGATTAATCATTAATCATTGTCACTCCTTGTATCTATAATTTAAAAATAATTTTGTTTGTTTCAATTGCACATCTACATACAGCTGCAGTATTTCCTAGTATCTATAATTTAATAATAATTTTGTTTGTTTCAGTTGTACATACAGCTGCAGTTGCTATTGATTAAAAGTTTTATTATAACTATTGTTTTAATTAAATATTTTGTGACATTCTAACAACCTGTATGGCTTCAATAGCTGGATCAATGTTGTTAGTTGCTACAAAACAGAAAATTGTTATTGCCTAATTAAGTGATTAATTAGAAATAAGCTAAAATTAAAAGTTTGATTAATAAAAAATTAAGTTTCAACTGAAAAAATTAAAATAATCATAAAAGTGAATTGGTATCTATTGGTTGCTAAGTGATTTGGTATCTATTGGTTGCTAAGTGATTTGGTATCAGTTTCATTTCATTTCAATAAAAATTAAATATTTAATCAAAACATTAAATTGAAATAGTTTTTCAATTTTTAGTTACAAGCAAAGTAAAATTATAGTTATAAGATTAATATAAGATAAGATTAAGGCAGAGAAAGAGAGAGAAAAAGAAGGTTGAAAAAAATAATATAATTTATTTTAATAGCTTTTCAGACATTTGTGATATAAAGAGTTTCAAGATTATAATGGCAGCTGATGTTTTATTTCACTTACTTTTATAATTATGTTGTAGTTATGTCATAATTTGCATATTAAAAAATGCTTTTAGGTTGGATTGCAGCAGCGCGTCTTGAAGAAGTGACAGGTCATACACAAAAAGCTAGAAACTTAATTATTAAAGGAACAGAAGCATGTCCGACAAGTGAGGATGTTTGGCTAGAAGCTGTGCGTTTACAAGTAAGAATTTTTTTTTGTTTTATTTATGTTTGTTATTTTTTAGTTTAAATATGTTTATTATTTTTTTTATTCAGTAAAAAGATTTTGTTTTTTTCATCCAGTAAAATAATTTTTTAAGCCGGTAGATTTGTCCAAAGCAGTTGTTGCACAAGCTATTAAACATCTTCCACAATCAGTGCGACTTTGGATTAAAGCTGCGGACTTAGAAACAGAAGTTACTGCTCAAAAAAAAGTTTTCAGAAAAGGTTTTTTCCTTTTTTTATATATACTTTTTGTATTTTTATATTAATATTTATTATGTTTTATTTTTTTCTTATTAATTTATGTATATAAAAGATAAAAATATTACCCGTTATTTTTGTATCATTTTTTTAAGCATTGGAGCAGATTCCCAACTCAGTCCGATTATGGAAAGCTGCAGTAGAATTAGAAGAGCCGGCTGATGCTCGTATATTGTTAACGCGTTCTGTAGAGTGCTGCCCACAAAGTGTTGAGGTATAAGATGTTTTTTCCATAATATACATAAACATAATAAACATAATATACATACAGTTAATTTTCTTGAAAATTAATATAGTTCCTTTTAAACATTAAAAATATATTTCATGAAAAAACAATGTCTGTGTGAACTTGTATTTTACTCTGAAAAGTTACATATTTAGTTATTTTTTGTATAACTTTATCATTCTGTAAAGAATTAAGTTGATTACTACCACATACCCCTCACTTCTCTCCTCTCTAATTTCTCATTGTATATAGAATTAAGACATTCTGCTGATGAAGTTCTTAAACTAGTTAGAGGTGCTTTACAGTATCATACTTTTTAAAATCCAAAGATCTTTTTCTGCTGATCAGCTTAAACATTGATTCTCAGTGCTACAAGTGTTCATAATTATGAATAGTAGTTATGCTTACAAAGTATTATAAGCAACAGTTGCCTTGTAACTATTTTAGCAAATTTTTTTTGTTGACATTTTTGAGCTTAAATTTTTTTTTTGTGCTTTGTGTAAGTAAATGCTTTCAAAATTTGGATAAATTCTGAAAGTTTTTATTTTTTTTACTTTATTTAGCTTTGGCTTGCTCTAGCTCGATTAGAAACTTATGAAAATGCAAGGCGAGTTCTAAACAAGGCACGTGAAAACATTCCAACGGATCGTCAGATATGGATTACTGCAGCAAAATTAGAAGAAGCCAATGGAAACACTCCACTAGTTGATAAAATTATTGAAAGAGGTATTTTATTTTTAATGCTAGAATAATTATATAGATTTATAATGTGTCTGTCTGTGTCTATATATATATGTATCAGGGTTTATTTGGGGATACCACTTTTTTCCGGCATCATTGGGGGAGGGTATGTTTTTGATTCTAACACCACCACTATACCCTCCCACACCTTTTTCTCACCTAGTTAAAACCGGTGCCATGACAATGATTTTTAGTCATTATTTTTTCAATCATCATTTTAATCATTTGTGTTTATTGTGTATAGTTTTATCCTAAGATTAGGAGTTGATTTAAAGGCATTTTTTTGAATACACAAATTTACAAGTGGGCGGTGTTACTTTAGTTATGATAAGAAAAATATTTTATTAAAGACTTTAATAAACTTTTGTTGCAAATACCACTATTAATACCATTAGTAAATAATTATTGAAAATTGTTTAAAGTATTTTAAACATTTATTATCTATATCTTGGTAAATTCAATTTTAGTTTAGTTAGTTTATTAATGTTTTAAATTAAAGTATAAATTTTTATTAATGTTTTAAATAAATAATGATTAAATGTTTAAATACTTTAAACCTTTTAAAATCAATATTTACATTATATAGTATATTAACATATATTAAATCGCACAATATTTGTAAAATTAACAAAATTGTTTTACGAATTTTGTTCAAATAATTAGTCGAATAAAAAGCATAAGCATTTAATAAACATATTAAACTTTTGAATATTTTAAAGTTTTGATTTAAACATTAGCAAATCTGTTCATTCAACTTTAGCTAAAGTTTAATAATTTTTAACGTGATTTTAAGGTGCCTTTTAAATTAAAGATATTTAAAAAAGAGATAATTACGGTAAAATTATGTTTAATAAGTAAATAAACATAATTTTGTTACATTTTTTTGAATAAAAAACATATTATATTTTAAAAAGTATATTATATTTTTTTAATCATTAAGTATAATTTTAAAAATTACGTTTAATAAGTTACATTTACTATTACCATCTTAATTAAACTTTTTTTTTTTTAACATGGGTTATTTTAAATTAACTTTTTATTTGTATTACTTTAAAAGTTTAGAAAAGAAACTTTCTGAAGAAGTTTATATTTCGCGATATTAAGACTAGTTTTTTACATTCATTTATTATCAAAAGTTTACTCTTAATTTCCAAAAATTAATATTAACTTTGAATAGGTTTTTAAAAATCATTTTATCTTTCGAAAAAGCAAATTTTTCATACATTCCATTATTATAAAATTTTGCAACAAGTTTTTGAAATTAAGTTTTGTAATGACATTCATTTTTTCAAAACTAACGTTCAGTTAGTAACCGAAGGACAGTTATGTCATTACATAAAAAGTAAATTCTTTTTAATTATGTTTATTGACCTGAAGAATAAATCAGGTAAATAAGGTGAAAACTATTTATATACTACTGCATTTTAAATGCAGTAGTGCTTAAATTTTTTTTTTCTATTTTTAATGAAAAAGCAAAAATGAAATTAAATATAAAAATAATTTTTGGGTGCTTTTTTTTGGGCGCCCATACTACTCCAGCAGTACTAAAACATTTTTTTTTAATTTACATATATTATTTTAAATTTTGTTTTGTTAATACTTTGATAAATAATTTTGTGATAATTAGCAAGTTTTTAAATTTTTAAATTTTTAATTGACAAGAACAGTTTGTAGTAGACAAAATTAGTTTGTAGTACACAAATTTAGTTAGCCTTTTTTTAAATTTTGTTACAACCTTCACTCATTTGTATACCTCAAAATCTTTGGATAAAAAATCTTTGGAGTTAGAGTTAGTAATTACTATTATCCAATACTACATATAACCAAATGTTAAAATGTTAAATGTAACTTCGAATGTACTCTCAAAGCTTAAGTATAAAACTTTGTTTTGATATTATTATTTTTATAATTTTTAACTAGCTGGTTTCAATATATTTTATTTATTAAGCTGTCTCATCCCTTGCTGCAAATACAGTGGAAATCAACCGTGAATTATGGATAATTGATGCTGAAGAAGCTGACAAAGCAGGTTCTATATACACTGCCCAATCCATTATGTATGTTTAAATTTTTTTATTAATATTTTTATTTTTTTTGTTTTTTGTATCTATTAAAATTTATTTTACACATAAATCTCACTAAAACCACTAAAATCAAGTAAGCAATTTATTTTTATTATTTTTAATTAACAAACACATTAAAAGTTTCAATTCTTATTTTTAGAAAAACTGTTATTGGTGTTGGAATAGAAGATGAAGATAGGAAACACACATGGCTAGAAGATGCTGAATCAGCAAGTTTTTAAATTTTCAAATTTTTAATTGACAAGAACATTTTGTAGTAGACAAAATTAGTTTGTAGTACACAAATTTAGATAGCAATTCTGATTCCAGTAATAAATAGCTAAACTGAAACAGAAAATGATGTAATTCACAATTTATTTTAAAAGTATAAAATATTTATTTTAATTGCTACAAAATTTTTAAAAACATTCAGAATGTTTTGAAAAGCATTGTAGTCTTTTAATTTGCGTTTTTGTGGTTTTTTAATCCTAATTATTTTCTTCAATTAAATTAATGCATTAAATACCACAGACAATAGAAAAGCTGTTTTTTACCACAAACTGTATATCTGAGCCCTTAACTATAGGTCAATGATATTTTTTTTTTTTTTTTTTTTTTTAACATCTTCACTTCCAACAAGGCTGCAAGCAACCACTATAAGAGTTGGAAGTTACTAGAAGAGAAAAGACTAAATCTGTAGAGCAAGATAACGATTGACTGATGACTTAAAAGATTGCAAATTATATGAATCAGGAAAGCAAGATGAAGGAAGCGAATTCCAAAGAACTGATGTTCGAGGAAAAAAACTAGAAGAATAAGAGTTTTTGAAGCACTTAGGAACAGTCACAGAAAAAGGATGAGACTTAATTGAATGGCGAGTAACACGAGAATGAATTTTAGTAGATGGCACAAGGGACGCTAGCTCTTTAGAGCAGTGCCCATTATAGTATTTGTAGAAAAGAGAAAGAGAAGCAACATTACGACGATGTGACAAAGGTTGGAGATTGGCTGCCAGAGCAGGTCCAACTATGTTTACAATTCGTTTTTGCACCTTGTCTAAAAGAGAAAGAGCATCATTAGAAGATCCGCCCCAGATGTGGCAACAGTATTCCATACAGGGACGGATTTGAGATTTATAGAGATAGAGAATAGAATCTGGAGTAAGAAAGTGTCGAGCTCGATAAAGAGATGCAACCTTAGCAGATGTTAATTTTGCAATGGATTTGATATACGGTTTAAAAGAAAGATCAGAAGTAAGAGTTAATCCTAGAAGATGAATGGTAGATGACTCATCTAGTACATTACCATTCATAAATATAGGAAGATCTAAATTATTACGATAACGATTGGCCGAATAAAATTGAGTTTTATCTGAATTAAAGTTCACCAGCCACTGTGAGCCCCATGCTGTAGCAGAAGTGAGATCCTTTTCAAGCTCAGATACATTATATAACTAGATGTCTAACTTCATTACAAAAAGTGAAGCTGCTTTTTGCCCTTTTTGCAAATGGCGGATTAAATTTTTTATACTTACAAATATTTTTAACTTTTCTTTTCTTAAATGAAGTAAATATATTTAAAAGTTAAATACTATTTACGTAAAAATGTTAAGCGGAAATTATAATACTTGTAAAATAATAATTTATGATTCCTTAATTTATTTTTGATTAAAAAGGGATTTAAGTTTTGAATAGAAAAGTTAAACGACAGACATTTTTATGAATTAAAATACTTTTTAATAAACAAAAAGGTTTGTAAAAAAACTTTTATAAGTATTTTATAATTATTAAAATTTGTTTTTGAATTATCTTTAATTTATTGATAACTTTTGACTTTTTTTTTTTTTTTTTAATTTTTTTTTATGCATTTTTAATTTTTATTATATATATATATATATATATATATATATATATATATATATATATATATATATATATATATATATATATATATATATATATATATATATATATATATATATATATATATATATATATATATATATATATATATATATATATATATATATATATATATGGTTCAAAAGCTTTAAAAATCAATACTTGACCTTACACTTATACTAAATGCACCATTCTAAATATGCTAAAGGTGTTTTGACATAAACACCTTTAGCATATTTAGCAAATGGTAGTTGGTAGTTAAAGATTAGAAGAAGACTATAAAGTCAATTTTTAGATGAGTAATAAAACATTATTACTCTTCTAAACTTTAATTAAAAATAACTTTTTAAAAATAAATCTAAAATAAAAGATTTTAAGATTTTTTTAAAAATTTTTCTTTTTCATAGATTAATATTTTTATATATAAATTATTTTAGTGTGCAGTTCATGGTGCATATGAATGCGCTCGTGCTATTTATGCCTACGCGTTAAAGACATTTCCAAATAAAAAATCAATTTGGTTTAGAGCTGCGTATTTTGAAAAGTCTCATGGAACAAGGTTTGTGTAACTTGTGGGATGTTTTTGTCTTTATTTTTGTTATTTAGGGAGAGGGAGGGGTCTATGTTATTTTAGTTTTTTTTTTTTTAAAGTTTCTTTAAAATAAGTAAATAAATTAAATAGGTTTTTATTTCATTTCTATACAAATAATGTAATCACACTACAACAATAAGAACCATGATTTAATACAGGTGTGTTGGAATATTTAAGATTTGATTAAGGTTTCAAAAAAATGTAATTGATAGTCATTTAGTTTTGATAATTTGGTTTTTGTAGTTTGGTTAGTATTATTTGGTAATTTAGAATCTTTTAACAGTTATCTGTTTTATTTCTTTTTAATTTTTCTTTTTTCTTTTTTTTTAATTTATTATTTAATTACATAATTTATTTTTTATCTTAAAAAATATTTTAATGAATATTTAAAATTTTCTCAATTTTTAATTTGAGTGTCAAACTTAATATAAAGTTTTACAAAAATACACATAATTTAAACAAATTATGTTTAATGTATTTTGTTCAAATAAATTTTTTTTGAAAAATTAATTTTCTAAATTAAATTAAAATTTGAACTTGTTTTTTTATTTTGGTAAAAATAGTGAAAAATTAAATTTAAAAGTTGCACACAAAAAAATGTAAGAAATACTGAAAAATATAAATTTATTATATTTTTGTCATTTATTCTTATTTATAAATCTGTGATTATGTACACAGGCTGAGTACAAAATTTATCATTACAATTCTTATACACACTAGGATCAGTCTTGAACATAGTTTCATCATTTAATTGGGTTTGCAATTTTAATGTTAGTAATAGTTACTGACTGGCAATTGAAAATTGTTTTATTATCTTGATTACAATGCTTGAGTATTAAGTTTTTGCAATTTTTAATCAAGTTATTTAAAGAAAAAAAAATTTTTTTCATGGTTTAAATAATGTTTAATATTATTATGTAAAATAGTAAAAAAAGTAAGAAAAATATAGATGTGTGCTATTGTGTGATGGCTCTTGCTAAACATCAAATAGACTGCTTGATGAGACAGCCAAAAAAATGAAGGATTAAAAATTGTCTGTCACTCCTAAATAATATATTTACTATCAACATATTTATAATGTAGTTTATACTAAGAATGGCTTTTTATTATGATGGTACTTTAGAGACCACTGACATTTAGATGGCACTTTAGAATGACATATTAAAGGTTTAATAATTAGGTCTAAATGAAAAAATTTGATAAGTGATTTTCTACTTATACATACAGACCTTATATATTCTACTTATATATTCTACTTGTATATACAGATTTAAATAAAAAATGCTTAATGTATTAGTTTAGTGCAATAATTGATGTCATAAAATTCTCTTTATTTTTTTATTTTTTAAAGATATTAACTTTTTTTAAATTTGCTGCAATAAGATTAATTACCGCAGAACGAGTTAAATATTATTTAATGACTTTTTTATTATTACTGAGCGAATGTTTTTTTTTTTTTTTTTTTAATATTAAATAATTAAATTTAATATTGCATTTTTAAAAATGTTTGATGTTAACAAATTTCTTTCTTTTTTCGACATTTGCATAAATGAATTTAAATATGTTTTTTTAAATAAGTTTTTGAGTTAGTTTTTGAATTTTTAAAATGATTTTTTTTTAAATTTCTTTTTGTGGCTTTGCAACTACAGATGATTTTTTATTTAAAAAAAATTAGAGAGTAGCAAATAAAAAAATTACGTTAATTTATTTATTTTATTTATTAAAAGTTTGTTTATTATTTTATTAAAATTATATCGCTGTATATATCGTTTATTGAAAAATAATCGCTGTGATTTAACTTGCGTTATGAAAAAAAAAGTAAAACTTACGTTTTGTGCAAATTTTTGATGTAGCTGTTTATTTAAAAACAATAATGCGATAAAAATAAGCTATTTTTTTTTTAAGAAAAAATGAAGTTTCAATATTGAATAATATTTAGTAATATTTTTGAATAAATTTGGCAATTATTTTAATAAACTTAAATCAAAATTAATTTATATATTTTTAAAATCTAAATAAAATTGTATATATTTTTTATCAGAATCCTTCCTTTCCATTTGTAGTATAAAAGTTGTCCTCGATGGACAGCACTCTTGTTCATATCCTGTAACTTCAGGGGTTCCTCAAGGTTCAATCCATGGCCCTATACTCTTTTTAATTTACATTAACAATCTTCCAGATATTCTCACATCTAAAATAGCATTGTTCGCTGATTTGTTTTTGTCATAATAAGAAGCCAAAACTCTCTGATTGCTTGGAGGGGGCGTTTGAGCTTGAAAAGGACCTCACTTCTGCTACAGCATGGGGCTCACAGTGGCTGATTAACTTTAATTCTGATAATTCTCTGATTTATCTGAATAACGATAATGATTGGCTGAAATTTTTTTAGCCAATCATTATCGCAATAGTTTAGATCTTTTTATATTTATGAACGGTATTGTACTTGACAAGTCATCTACCCTTCATCTTCTAGGATTGATTCATACTTCTGATCTTTTTTGAAATCTGTATATCAAATCCCTTGCAAAATTAGCATCTGCTAAGGTTGCATCTATTTATTGAGCTCGACACTTTCTAACTGCGGATTCTATTATTTTCTCTATAAATCTCAAATCCGTCCTTGTATGGAATACTGTTGCCATATCTGGATCTTCTAATGATGCTCTTTCTCGTTTAGACAAGGTGCAAAAACGAATTGGAAAAAAAAGAATAAAATTAGTTTTAAATTTAATCATATATTTTTTATCAGAATTAAATTGTTTTTATGATCTTTGCTTCAAGCTTAAAAAATCGATCATTATAATAAAATATTATAATAAAAATAAACTTTGAATTTTGTTTGAGTTTTTTTCATTTGTAAATAGCACTTATATCAAACATAATTGTCATTCAAACTTTTGTAATAAATATTTTTACATAAATGTCATTAAAAAGTTAATGTGATTTTTTTTTAAATTAATTACTTCTTTTATCTTATCGTTTATTGAATAATTTAAAAGTTAAAAAATTATGAAAAGTCATCTAATTGAAATCACTTACTACTTATGTAAAATTGCTTAAAGCGTACATTGCTCTACATGTAATGCTTTAAAACAAGGCCTATATATATATATAATTTATGTGCATTTATTATGAAGAAAAAAATTAATTTAAAATAGTTACACTCATTTTTTTGAAACCAACCATTTTCTATTATAATGAGCAGTAATTCTTCTATATATTAACGCATACTAAACTGTTTTAATTTAGTATATTGGACTCTTTATTCGTGTTCGG